CACTGGCAATATCCAATATTGAGAGACATTTTTGGTTGTAATGAGTTGTGGGGAGGTGCTCGCTACTGGCATCTAGTGGATGGAAACCAAGGGTGCTGCTAAATCTCCTGCAATGCCATTCTGTAGGCCAACCCAGAAAACAAACAAGTATTAGGCCCAAAATATTACTTGTGCCAATGTTGACAAGCCCTGCTTTTGTATAATTCTCACTTCCTTCTGCAAGGGTACAATGTTGTCCTTTGGTTCATCAAAGATATTGGTACATATGTTTATGTATTATTAATTTGTGGGTCTTCAACATCATAGTGTAGACTGAGCTTTGAAAACCTCAGTTCAACCCCATTTGTTATTCCTCCATCTGCATAAAATGAAGATAAGAATTTCAACCCTTTTTGTCATCTTGAGGAATCTATTCTTTCTCTTATGCATACTTGGACATACATTTCTCAAGAACCAGCAATAGTCATACATCCTAAATCCCTATTTTAAAATAAATTTCACAGTATGAGGAAGACATTATTTTGTTACATTATATATAATATTAATATTATATATCCAAAAATTATCTCATGTGGCAAAACTGTCTAGAATTTTACCTTTTCCTAGTAAAAATCCATAGTTAATTTTGGCATCAAGTATCATTGTATTTGGTTTTTCCAGAGAAAAGAAGTACTTTTAAAATTTTATTAGCATATAATAGTTGTACAGAGGGCACATTGTGATATTTACATATGTGCTTATAATATATCTTAGATTTACCCCCTCCATCATTCTCCTTTTTCCCCTTTCTCTCCTTCTTAGAACAATTTCAACAGGTTTCATTCTTCTATTTTCAAATATGAATACAAAATACATTTAGCATATTCACTCTCATTCACCCTTTCCTTATGCCCACCCCCTCCCACTTTTACCCCTGGAAAAGAGCTATTTTTCCTTCCTGCTCTTCATTTTTAAAAAAAATGTATATTGATAGTCCAAGGTGGCTTTGCCTTGGTACTTCAGGCCTGTATACATCCTGATTTAATCAAATTAACCCCCCTGTTACTTACTCTTTCTCTATCATCAGAATCCCTTAATATTCAACAGCTTATAGTATCACGCATTATATTCTTATATAGATGAGTTGTTTCAATTTTTTTTATTCTCTAACATTTTCTTTCCCTCTGCCACCTTCCATAGTCCCCTCAGACAGACTCAGTAATATAATTTTTATTCTGTCACTATATGCATGTATGTATATGAATGTATCTATGATCATCTATCTATCTATCTATCTATCTATCTATCTATCTATCTATCTATCTATCTATCCATTTAACTTATAGGTCTAGCTTTCACATATGAAGAAAAACATGCTACCTTTGACTTTTTGGCCTACTTTGTTTAACATAATGTTCTCTAATTCAATCCATTTACCTGCAAACAACATAGTTTTCTTTTTTTGTATGGCTGAATAAAACCACATATTATATATATATATACACCACATTTTCTTAAAACCATTCATCAGTCATGGGGCATCTGGGCTGTTTCCAAAGCTTAGCTATTGTGCATAGTGCTGCAATAAACATGTGCAAGTGCAGAGCAAAGAAATATTTATCCTAATAGTGACTCCATGTTTCAGCATCCTGAAACATAAAAAAACTCCTAAATTTTAAAATTAGCTTCTATGAAATCTTAAACTTTTCTTTATCAACACATTTAGACTTTACCTTCTCCCATTTGTCTTAGCGATTTAAAACTTTTCCAGGCATGTGCTATAGGATGGGCAGCCGGTGGTCTATGGGAGGCTCCAAGGTTATGGCCTTTGGAACATTGAGCTACATCATGTAGAAGATTATGTTACAGGCTCTCAAGTTCAAAATAAGTTTCCAGTATGTTTGGTCCTTTATCCCTACATCACATTACATTGAAGGGAGTGATAGAAATTATAACCAAGAAATCAAAGGTAGAACCACATTTAACTCAGAAGTATTGCTGTGTTCTTCAGATCATCTATTTATAAGCTTGTTTCTGTAGCTTGATGTGTCAGGGTTTAATTATGAATTGCTAATGGATGAGCATAAATATGTCTATATAAATAGGTCCTGAATAGGATCTAGCAGACATTTTGACAGTTTTTACTGGATATCTGTATAATTGCTTATCAAGTACTTGGGACTAATTTAGAAACCTATCCATTGAGTCTACTTGATTCTAGAAAAGAAATTATAATTGACTTTCTTCAATGCAGGAAGAAAAGACTAAACAATCTTGACCATTCCTTGTAGTTGTAAAATTGGTAACTTTGTGATTTATTATCTCTACCAGTCAAAACTAATAAGACAAGGCTTTATGAGTTTAAATGAAGTTAGAGAAGGAATTAGAAAAATATCCATTGTTATACCCAGTACTCCCAACTCCCCGACCATAATTCGAAAGCAAAATTCTATTTCTACCTAAATTTTTTATATGACACAGGTAATCTGAAAGGGAAACACGTATCTATAGGCAGAGGATTTATAGCGTCTCTCCCTTGTCACCTATATAGGTTTTACTGATTAATTTCATTAAGATAGTTACTGGAGGACTTTCATTAATCAACATTTAATTATTGACATTTTCTGCCTTAAGCTATGCTCAGGGCACAGAGCTCTAGCCATATAATCAGATGAACAGGTTTGAAATTTGCCTTTTTCTTATTAATTTTAAAAGAAATTAAAATTAAATGGAGCACTTTGAGTTTTGTTTCCTCCCCCATTTAAACATAAAGTATTTTTCTCAGAAATACCTTTTTCTTTAATTCTTCGTTTAGGAAGTGTTTATTGGGAGTCTATTGTACTCTAAACATTATGGAAGATCCCACAGGTAGCCAGAGCCCAAAGAACTTTGTGTAAGAATACAGATGTTCCAGGTCACATTCTAATGCCTGGTTTTGTTCAGTGGACATCAAACTGGCAACACAAGGTAGTCTATTGGGTATAGGAAGAAAACACTAGAATTTTTATTCCGATATTATTTTAGTCCTTTTTCTGACATACTTTATTTTGATGGTTTCAAACATACAGAAAAGTTCTAAAAGTAGCATTGAAAACTCCCAGATGTCTTTCACTGGATTTGTTAATTACTAAAAATTTCCCTAGTTGGGTTTTTATTCTTCCTCAACACTACTATTTTTCTCCAACATATATATATATATATATATATATATATATAAAATGCATACATAAGTATATATATTCAGATAAAATATGTAGTTTATGTATATATGAAAATATGTATATTGTACATACACACACCATCATTCCACATTACCCTAAACATTTTAGTGTTTCCTAAGAAAAAGGATATTCTTTCTGTTATGGTGAAATAGTTAAAATCAAGAAAGGTACCACTGATATAGCACTACCATCTAATTCTACTTCATATTCATATTACATCAGTTTCCCACTAACATTCTGCAAAGCTATTTTCCCAGTCCAGAATTGCATATTTCATTTAGTTGTCATTTTCCTTTAGTTCATTTAGATATAGAACATTTATAACATTTGTCAAGATACAGGCTGTGGAATTTCCCTCAATTTGGATTGGCAGGTGTTCCTCATGATTTTGATTTGGGTTATACATTTTGGCAGGAATAGCATAGAAAGGATCTGTTCCACTGCACACACAATGTCTATTTACCTCCTCAGGAGTGATGTCAACCTCTCTCACTTGGTTGAAATGGTCTGCCTGGTTTCTCCACACTTGTAACTTTTCCAATTCACAAGTAATTTGTGGGAATACACTTGTTCCTCATCAGACTTTCATCCACTGGTTTGAGCATCCAATCTTACCCTCTTACATATGATATTTGATGTGCTTTATAGTGGATATAATAATTATCACATATATAATTTATGAATGAATGAATATACGTATGTTGAAATAGTCTGGGTTTGTGTTCAAGTTTTTTCATTAATAAATGTTTTTTACACTCATAATATTTGGAGAATTAAATGAATGTGCTAATCAGGTTATTTTCTATCTCTGCATTGTTGAAACATTTTAAGTTGGGTTTGTATTCAGGAAACCTTCCATGTTTCTATTAGTCCTGGGCTTATTTCTAATATAAAGTTGAATATTATTGTTTGCGAGGAATATATCCTTTCCTTTCTTCTTTTCTTTATTATATGTAGTTATCAGATCAGTATCTGATTAGTGCAAGAGGGAAGAAGAAAAGCTTTAGAAATGTGGTCAATGGTAGTGATGAATGAGTGTAATGAAGATAGTAGTTCCACGCCTTACACATTAAGGCCAGGTTGATGCTACTTTATCAACAGAACTTTACCACTGTTCCCTGAGACACACTCAAGGCCTCTCAGGGACTTTGGAGGGTGGGGAATGGGGGAGTCTGAGAATAACTGAAGCTTGGACTGAGACTGGTATCAATGTGTCCCAAACTTTGGTCATTTGGGTACAACTTCCCTAAAATATGCCATATTTGCACTATTATTTATTTACTCAATACTTTTCTCTAATTCAGCTTTACATAGATATTTTCTTTAAAAATTAACACCCTTGGCTAATCTAACCAATGTATAACATAAGGCTACTGGGAATTGTCACAGTGAATCCCCCTGGATAACAAATATCTCCCTATAATAAGTTCTTCTCCCTATAATAAGTGGCACCTTAATATTCTAAACCTTTTTTTTCTAAATGATATATAATCTTGAGTGTTTGTTGTAGTCTTAAAAAAGATCAGTTTTGGACCATCGAAGAACCTATACAGCTTTTGTATGTGTTGAATCTTTTGGGTCCTTTTATTTTATTCTAGCAGAGGTGCTAGAATAAAATAAAAGGACCTATACCTTGTGAAGTTGGAAAAAATGAAAGGATATCATGGGAGACAGGTAGAGATGGGTAAAATTCCTAGAAGCAGAATGAAGCACTCTGTTTCCATTGTGCTATTATGGAATCATGTGATTTGTTTGCACTGAATTCTGTGCTTCCTCCTGCCCTGTATCCTGCATCTTTAGAAAGGAGCTTATTGCCAAGCTGGACCAGGCAGAAAAGGAGAAGGTGGATGCTGCACAGCTGGTTCGAGAATTTGAGGCTCTGACAGAGGAGAATCGGACCCTGAAGTTGGCCCAGTCACAATGCGTGGAACAACTGGAAAAACTTAGAATACAGTATCAGAAGAGGCAGGGCTCATCCTAACTTGAAAGATTCAGTGTGAGGATGAGAGGTTGGTGACTGCTATGTGCTGGCCAAATGATTTCTATTTTAAAGGGATGGCAAGTAAAAGCTATTGCTTCTCTTTATTATCCACATGGCAAATGTCTAGAATGAGTTTACTGCTTGCCAGCTGCTAGCTTGAGAAGAAGGGATATTTTATTTTAAGTGAATCGTTAATGCAAAGCTATTACCACTATATATTTTCAGAGATCATAATTCTTTTCCAAATATATAAGACATATATCTTATTGAGGAAGACATGCCCATACTGTACATTAGGGTAGAAAATGATAAAAATAGAATATTGGTGGACCCTGTTAAGAATCATGAGTCATGAAACAAAACAGTAAGATGCTCACTGTAGTTCTATATCTGTGCATTTTAAAATTTCTTGCCTTTAATATTTCAAGTCTGCTCAAATATAAGCCATAGACATTTCTTTGCATATATTTATGTTCACTAGAGTCAGATGTAATCCTTTGATGATTGATTGTCCTAAGAATAAATGATCATGCATCATAAAAGCTTTCTCATGAAAATATTTGCAGAAATCATATCTGTGCCAAAAGCTCACTCACCAGTGCTGACTTGCTGTTGTAATAAAGAAACAGAAAAGACTACAATTTTCTTCACTCTGTGTTAACACATAGTGAACATCTCTGCTTTTGTTATGTGTGTTTTAGGGGGAAGAGGGAAATGGAAAGGTATTGTTTGGACATCATTTTGGTGAGTTCTCATGAAAACAGCAGTGAAATTATAACTATTCCTTTGTTTTAGATTTAAGAAGATATTTTAGATTGGTTACAACTGATAGGACTATGTGAGTAAATTCAGAATTACAATGACTTTCCCCTAGTTGTCACCATATTTTCCCAAATCGATATCTTTGTTATATGTCCATTTCTATTCCTGTAACTTCTTTTTCATTAAACATGGATCAAGAAAAAAAAAAACCTGGAAGTTTGTATTTTGCTTCTGTCTTAGCCCCCCCCCCTTTTTTTTTGCTAGAAGTTGAGACTGCTTTACCCTGGTTAGAATTTATTATTAGCTGTATGTGCATAAAAAGAAGTGTGTCCCTTTTCTTGGAAAGATGTTGGTTTCTCATATAAATAACTTGGAGCAATAGTACTGATTATGATGCATTTGTGCCTTGAGATTTTTGTTCACAAAGCATAAAGAACAGGTCATTAAAATAATAAGATGGCCTTAGATAGATCAGTGGTTCTCAGCTGGATGTGAGTTTTGCTCCCAAGGGCATTGGCAAATGTCTGGAGACATTTTCTTTTGTTGTCATCAGGACTAGGGTGAGTGGTGCTCCTAGCATTTAGAGGGATGGACTAAGGGGCTGCTCACCATCCTACCATGCACAGAGCAGTCTTCCCTACAAAGAATTGTCCCAGTCAACAATTGTCCCAGTAGCACTGGGACTGGGTAGTCCTTTCACTGGGCCATTTGGGCAATGTCAAGGGGAAGTCATTTCAGGATCATGGGCTTCTTGTCATATGGTAGTCTGTGAAGCCTTTAAGCATTTTGAGCCTCAGTTTCCTTATTTGCAAAAATGAAGCTTTTCTGCAGATCTCAGTTTTAATGTTATGTGTGCCCCCTATTCATCCTCACACTGCTTTCATGTTGGACCAAAGATGAAAGTTCCTATGATCCAGGCAGAACTTTCTCTTTCAGTATCTGTGAGGCTTATAAACACAATTCCAGAGTTAATAGAGTGGCAGGAAGAAGAGTGACTTACTTACCTTCAAATTCAAGGGATTTTGTTTTAGTCACTGCTCATCCAAAGAGGGTTGCAAATATTTATAGAACTCAAGTAGTTACAGCCTTTTGTAGAATTTGGGTGACAGGGAAACACAGCTCCAAAATCTCTTTGCTCTGCCAGAATAAAAATTATTTAACAGGGTGAAAATGTTTGAATACCACTGGTAAGAAGTCACAGAATTGCTGAATAAATAATTTTCATATTTTGCTAGTCTCAAACTGAAATTTTATGATGTGTTTCCAAAATATTTACATTTGTCACTAAAAAGCAAGCATTTCCCTGAGTATGTGTTTTCATCATTTATTTTATAGCAAGTCAGAGAAATCTAAAGGTAGAATTTCTTATACTGTCTCATCTTTTTCATTCAATTGACTAATCTTACCATTTCATTAAGAATTTACTATCTTTAGGACTGAGGTATAGTTCAGTGGCAGAGTATTTGCCTAGTATGCACAAGACCTGGGGTTTGATCCCTAGTATCACACAAAAAATGAATTTTCTATCTTCAAATATATTTACAATTTCCTGATAATAGCAATAATGATAAGAGTATAGAGAATTAAAAATAAGTACAGATGTGAAGTACTGGTGTGAAGGTGCTGGCTTCAGAGCTAGAATTATAGAAAAATATATCTTAAGTTACTTCTGTAATTGCTCTACTAAAGAATCTGCTATTTGTGGTCCAGTTATTTTGTGTAGACATGAAAAGAATGTGATCACATGTAGCTAACAGTCAACTCTCTAACTGTTGATATTGTCAGAGCATGTTTCTCTAAGTGATTCTAAGTCACCCTGGGCTTGGATGTGTTATTATTTCAGTACAAATAAGGACCTGGAAATCAAATTCAATTCACCAAAAATTTATTACACACTAACCAAGTACAGGCAGAGCAACAGCAATAGAAGTTGCAAAACTGAATGATATAAAGATGTAAAGATAACTTATCTGGGTGCAGTGTGTGGGATGGATTGCACTACATAGAGAATGGAGGTCCCAGGAGTTGTAGGAGGCTGAGAGAAAGGAATGTGTCTTGGAGTGAGAGCAATTGAGATGGACTAACAGATGAGGAGTAATGGGAAATACATAGAAGCTGGACCCACATGGAATGGGTTTAAACATGGAAGATGAGGAAAAATAACATTTTAATGAGCCCCATCTGTGCCAGACCATACCAGGTGCCATGTATAGGGTGTATAATTTAATTCTCATAACAACCCATCACATGGCTATAATTATCCTCATTATCCCAAACTAGAAATTAAAGTTATATAATTTGTACAAAGTTCCCTAGATTTGGGATTCAAATACAAAGTTTCATTCATTTAATGCCATGCATTACCAGGCTTCCTAGAAGGAACTAGGGCCATCACAGAGAACAATAGAAATGGGGGTCCTGTTTCCAAAGAAAGGTTAGTTAGACATTTATCTAAATACACACATGGGATAGTTTTAAAATATATCCAGAAATTCCCTCAAAAGGTGGAGATTAACTCTTCTTCCCTTTAGTGTGAATCTGAGGTAAAGATGTGTTTCTAACAAATAAAGTCAAGCAGAATAGGTAGTGTGCTACTTGTGAGACTAGGACGTTGAAGACCTTTGAGTTCCCTTCTCCCCTCAGATCTCTTGCTCTGGAATGAGCCAGCTGCCGTGTTGGGAAGAGATTCCAGCAGGGCAATGGGGAGGCCCTGGGGTAAGGAACTGATGTGGTTGGCCAACAGCCAAGGGCTTCAGATGGCTGCAGACTGGCTGACTTCTGACTCTGAGCCAGGACCATCCCATTAAACTGCTCCCGGCTCCTGATTCTCAGGAACTTTGAAACAATCAACATTTGTTATTTTAAGCCATTAAGTTTTGGGGATGATTGGTTGGGCAGCAATAGATAATGAATATGACAAATAAATGGGGTGAGTGCCAAACAGGAAAAAAGATATAGCTTATGAACATAAACTATAAAAAAAAAGAATCTGAGTGAGAGGAGGAGCCTTAGATGACTTGATAGTGACTAATAAGATAAAATCTCAAGGATGAGTAAGAGCTACAGAGGCCAAGAAGGCAGAGGAGAAAGATACAGAGCTGAGAGACATGCAAAGGCCCTGTAGCACATTCAAAGACTTCAAGGTAGGCTAGTACAGCTGAGAATGAAGAGGCAGGACAAATATGATACATCATGATGCTGTAGAATAAGGAAGGAACTTGAGGATTGCATAAAGAATTTTGGCCTTAGTCCTAAAAGCAAAGAGAAGCTATTAAAGGATTTTAAGTATGCTACAGGGGTGACCATATTCTCTGTTAGAATAGCTTGTTTTAAGAGGTTTCCCCCTATAAGATGGCTCATTTTAACTTGCTCAGAGTGCCACATAGAGTTTTAAAACTATACATATTTAGATAGATAGACAGATGATAGACAATGAGAGGACATTGTAAGTCATTTTAATGGCTATATTTGATATATTTCTCCTTAGAGAATAAGTAAACCTCAGCAATATCAAGTGGCCTGGCAGAATAAAAGTCAGATTGACTCTGTCTCTATTGTTATTATTACCATATTTTATTTACTAGTACCAAATTATCAATCCTACTTTTAAAGAAAATTTCTATAATCTACCTGTTTTCTAGTGATTACCTCATATTTCAAAGTAGACAGGCTCATGGCAGAGAAGTCTTCAATAATTAGAGCTCTAAAATAACCCTTTTTGTTAATGGCGCTGGAACAGTCTATGATCAGAAGATCCTGGTTTTTGTATTCCAAATGGAAAAATCCAGAGTACATGGATGAGATGAGGTAGGATAGCTTTATTGAGAAAAGGGGAGTCACCTGTTCTGGCAGGTGAGGAAAGGGAAGAAGAAGAGGGCACAGTAGGTGCAGGTGGAGTCTGCTGGCAGAGAGAGGGAGTGCTTTTCTTTTTCAGGTGCCTTTAAAACCTGCACTACCCCATGGGAGGGCAGGCCAAGGAGATCCCACCCAATAATGAACTGAGTGGGGAGGGGCACGGGTGGTTCCCAGCCAGGTGGGGGTGGTCTGGCCATCCCCAGGCAACCTACATAAGCCCCAAACTTTTCCTTCTTCTAGCCTGCTTCACTTTTACCTGTCTTTGTTTTTTTTTGGCTGTTCTGGTGTTTGAACTCAGGGCCCTGAGCTTTCTAGGCAGGCCCTCTACCACTTGAGCCACACCTCCAGCCTATCTTTACTATTTTAATGATACTATATTTACTATTTTAATGATAGTAATCAGCAGGGACTGCAGCTCTGATTGAGCACTGAAAGAGAAACACACAAAGATAGAAATTCAATAACTCACAGCCCTGAGAGCATTTTCTCTTCGATTCTCTGAATATCCTTCCAGTTCTAACATTCTGTTTTCAATAACTGGAATATATTGTTTCATTTCTTACAGTTACAAACAGATTCTCTCTGGAAGAAAAAATTTGTTA